AATGTATAACAAAAACTTTGAAAATCATCTTATTGCACACAGTAGCTATAGCACTAATCGTATTCCAAAGATGAGACCATTATCTCTTATAGATTTTGAGAATTTGATTTTCTAAGACCTGATAGGGGTGAAAAATTGAGTACGAAAAAAAGCAAGTTAAAAGTTTGATTTACTTATATAAATGACTAAATATTCAAAACTATATACAGTAAACCTTGCATAAGTCGGATTCGTATAAGTCGGATTTGTATAAGTCGGATCCTGGGTTCTTAATCCATTTTGAAACAAACCGGCCAGAATTGGGTCAAATGAGGTCCCGGTAGGAAATGGGTTAATTATAAGCTTCCATTCCCTTTAATGTAACGAAACTTCCACAAAAATAATTCTTGGTAATTTGTTATGGAAAATGTCATATTCTGATGTATGTGATTACCACAAAAATAACAACAATTAGGTACACCTTTTGAAAATTTTCCATATTTAATTCACGTACCAGCTTTCAAGTTCACGTCCGTAATACTCCTGAATAAATTACGATCTTGTTTATTCGATGAAACATTCGTGTTTCATCAGTCGATGATCAAAAATATTAGCATTTTTCTACTATTGCCAGTATCCGAAAATGCTGCAGCCAACATAAACTGATACGGCATCATGGCATTTCTTCATAACACAATTTGTAGTTTTTTGTCATCACGTAACTAGTTACGTAACTTGCAAAAGTTTTTATTCATTCATCGAAGATAGACAAACGGCACAATTTTCATGTGACAACCATAATTGAATTGCTTTAAAATAAAATTCTGTATAATTATGATATAGCCTTCAATAAAAACGACAGTATATTTAGAATTAAACCATTGTCAGAATGTGTATATACTAAGCAGCAAAAGAAACATCAGGTTGGTATGCTACTCTGAATAGACGAATTGTATAAAACTTGCCAAATGTTTTTATTGTATACTTGTGACCACATCTCCAACTTTATTTGAGCAATAAGGTTCCAGGAAATGTTCTCAAAAACGCAACCTGACTTCTGAGATGGTAATGTGTTCTCCATGATTTTCATGTAACTCATGCTGCACGTGCTGTTCACCGGGACCAGCCCTATAAAATGTAGCCCCATATCTGGTTGAATCATTCACATTACAACGTCAGCAGCATGCAACAACTCATGACAGCTCAGAGGAACCAGGTGCATGAAAGACTCGACGCTGGCCACACTTCCCAAGCCGTTGCCAATCACTTCCAGATCAATGTTGAACTATCTACAGGCTTCAGCAATGCTTTCAGGCTACCAACACCACAGATGATCGCCCCTGAACTGGTAGACCAAGGACTAAGACAAGGCGACAAGACCGCCATGTTGTGTGACAGCACGTGCAGAATCCCTTCACACAGGCATCTGAGACAGCACGTCAGATAGTGGGAACACACGGAAGACCCATCAGTACTGATATAGTGCGCTGACGTTTCACCAGAGAGAACATCCATTGCCGTAGACCTTACTGTGGACTGATCCTCACACCTCGCCATCGACATGACAGTCTACAGTTTGCCCAACAACACCAGAACTGGCAACACAGGCAGTGGAGAACTGTTCTGTTAACAGATGAGAGTCGGTATTGCGTATCAACTGCAGATGGCAGGACCAGTCTATGGCGTCAACGTGGCCAGCATTATTCTGACCAATGTGTTTGGAGTGGAATCGGCCTGAACCAGAGAGTGGGTCCTGTGGTGTTCCAAAATCTTGGTCCAGGGAGAGGAGTCAGTGTCACAGTAGTACGCTACATCGATCAAGCTCTCAGAACCCATATCATACCACATTTAGCACGTCATCGAAACAACGTTTTCCACCATGACAATGCCCGTGCCCACACCGCCAGAGTTACTTGGAACTTTCTACAGCAGAACGGTGTCAACGTTATGCACTGGCCAGTCCTTAGTCCGGACTTAAACCCGATTGAACATCCTTGGGATGAAATTCAGAAGAGACTTAATAACGTCGCACCGAGACCAAACAGCCGATGGATTGTGCCAGGCTTTTCTGAGAGTGTGGTTCCAGGTGCCAATGGCGTTCATCAATCGTCTGGTCCACTCCATGTACAGACACTGTGCTGCTGGTATTGACACTCACGGTGAACACACCAGATACTGATGTATAGACTGTGTACAGACTCTAAACCTTCTCGTAATGTCTTGGAATTGTGATGAATTAATCACTAATGTGTCAACATATTGTTCATAAAAAATTGCTTTGATCCATTTAGTAAGTCGTATTCTAGAATGATTTGATTAAAGTGCATCTCTGATTTTGAAATCGTAATAACATTTAAACTGCTGTTTAGTATATAATAAAAATGGTAAACGCTATTTAAAACTGGTTTATTGACCTAATTCCAAACGATATGTCACGTGTCATTGGCATTCGGCACTGGAGATTCTATCGGGAAAATATATTTTTAATGACTATTTCTCAGTGTATTCAGTGTTCTATCAGGGGATTATACTCAATGAAGATATAAATTTACCTATGGCCGAGCCACGTAAATCTGTACGCCACCCCACATCTAGACCTCAATGGCCTACGCCAAAGCCGTTTAACAGAAGGGGACGCACTTTTAACAACATGTTGTGTTGCACATACTGACTCTAGCGATGTAAGCGAGGTCTTATTTTCTCACTAAAATGTTCCTTTACATTGTTCGGGCGTTCACAGAGACTGACACACGACTGGGAACCGATTTTATTTCAACAAGGATTCAATAGGACGGTTCCTGAACGTACAGGGTGATAATGAGACCTACGTTCAGAGCTGAACTAGGTCTTAGGCTAACTTGGATCTTCGCGTAACTCAGATAAAATTGGTCAATCCATTTAGATCCGACTTATGCGAAGTTTACTGTAATATAAAGGCTGGACACGACTTGAAAAATCAGCAAATTTTTCCTATTTTGGGTTAGCTGATATCAAAATTTGACAGATCAAATCAAACACAGTGTTTTATAAGGTAGTGTCCTGCCTTAACATCAAACTGACACTCCCATTTATTATCCACTCAACAGAAACTATGTTATTTTGGGACTAACATGATGGTACAATTTTATTTCAATAATTCTTTAACAGTGGGAAAAATGCAGAGAAGGTTGGGCAATTGACCCTACTCTATGTCACGTACAGGCTAGGGATTGAAACCACACCACTTGATTCAATGGAAGACCCGATAAGTGAAGCACACGCACCCAACCCCACTCAAGACTATGATCTTAAGCACACAATTTAGACAACTCAACCACCACTGTGAAGATGATTCTTTCCAAGAAATGATATTCATTGCATGTGCCATTAGTATAATAAATGAGAAATACCTGAAGCCTGTATGAATGGTAATATAGCTTGAAGGTTGTTATCAAATGACAGTACATTTACTACCGCCTCACGTCCCATCAACGAGAAAACTACACCTGACTCTCTAACAGTGGAGGTAAAAGTCATTGAAAATAAGGTATGTAAACATGTTAATGGTTCGGGTTCATCAAATTTTCCTTCTTGTCCAACTGAAGGAAAGAAACAAAAACAACAAAGATTTATTTAAAACATTAGATATTAATGCTAAATGGGCATCCAATTTTTCACTAAAAGTTTCAAATATCATCTACAGTTTTAATGACAATTTATTATAATCTATGTTGATAATCCGTATAGAGACTCAGTAATACCATTAATCTAAATCTAACTTCTCTATGTAACAAAGGGAGTCACAGTGGTTAAGTGAGTAAGATGATGGCTCGCTAACAGAAATTTTTGGGAAAATCTCTAAAAATAAAACAAAGAAAACACTGAATCCGGGAAAAATTTGATACAGACCTCCCGTGTCAAGGGGCCCCGAGTCCAAGAAGAGGACCCATGAATCGCGAATCACCTGCATTCCCCTAAGATTAAGATTAATATTAATTTTTAAAAAGTCAAGAACAATTAAAATTCAAACATTTGTTTTGCTTAAAATTCCTTTCAAACAAATTTAGATTCTATCTAAACCCACATGCAAGTGCTCTAAATCTCATCTAAGGGGATGTCATATTCAAAATATTCCAGGGGACGGCCCTGAACCCCCTGTCACTGAGCCCTTGAGAATGAGTCACCTCTGATGGCCAATCCCTTAATAAGCCCCTGAGCCCAAATGGAGCAGAAAAGTAGGACATTAAACCCCATTTCATTTCATTAATTTCTATATAACAACTTCCGATTCAAAAAAATCTCACTGGTTAATAAAGGATAAGGACATAGGAATCAATAGGATAAGTATATACTTACGTTGTTTATTATAGGTTATAAGTTGATCTATTAATGTAATGACATGTAGATGATTGATCAAATCAACACCTAGTTGTTTACATATAATATCATCTACACTATCTTCATTTTCTTCCTATAAATAAAAAACAAACAAACTTATACTAAATATGTGTATTCATTTAATTAGTTTATAAATCATGAATAAATATTATCTTTCTCATCAACACTGATTATTAGGGTCAAGTATAGCTGTTGAAAACTGTATTTCAATATTTAAATTATATAGGATCAAAGTAACATGCATTTTGTTAGTCTTAACAATTATTCAGAAATGGAAAAAGTAACAACTGAGCTTTATTTAATTCAATACTAAAAATAAAGTGAATAAGTTATTGGTGTAATTGTTTTAGCGGGTCAATTTAACTATCGGTAACAACTATCAGTCAAGCAGAATTGTTCCATTATCTGCTGAGGTATTGTTTGTAATAATGATGGTGATTTTGACAATTTATAGAATAAATATTTGCCAAAATAAAAAGAACTTTTCATTCATAAAAATAATGTTATGTATCGAATAGGTTATCATATTGTGAAGTTAAATCGATCAATAAAAAAAACCCCAAGTATTCTGCTTGAACCATACATCTCAATTATCTGATGCAAAAAGGCAAAATAAATTTCATCTAAACAGAGAAATTGGAAACTTACTTGAGTACTAACTTGTAAAAGTGATCTTATAATACCATTAGTTATCTCTGAGTTAGAAGACAGATATAAGAGACCAGTCTGTGATTTTAAGAGATATTTGAGTATATTATGAACACTGTGATATATTGGTGCTTGGGTAAATAATGATGGTGAAGATACTAATACAAACAATGACTGTAGCAGATTACTGAAAAAAAAAAGTAAATTCAAAATCTTATCATGATATTAACTTGCCAAATTAATTTTAGGACAAAGTACATCTAACTGAAGACAACTATATTAGATTAGCTATATAATTATTAACTCATCTAGATAATTATTAACTTACCAAGTATTAGCTATATAATATAAACTAGGATATGGATCACTATGTGCACTACCTTTATCAAATGGATTAGTCGTAGGCAATGATCTTTTTGGCTGAGCCTGAAAACAAAACATAAACATGTATGACACTTTAACCATGGACGGAAAATAATAAATGAAGACAGATTTTTATCCTCCAAAAGATATAAACACATGAAATCCAATTAAATTGACAATTTTATTTTTTCACTTAGAACAAAGTGATCTTGCCATCTTGAAACTGACTTTAAATATTTCAATAAAATACAACTTTAGCAAATGTAAAAACATTGCATAAAACACTGAATGATTAACACTGTATCTTTAAATGATGACTTTACTCATATTTGTCTGTGATATAGGTAAAATTAAAAAAATACTAACTATAAGATCAGGAGCTAAAACAAGAACTTTATAAATTTCCTCCAAACATGTAACAATGTTATCTATGTCACTCTCTGTACAAATATTAGTAGATAATTCTACATCTATATCTGTTGTATCTTCTGTACTGTCTTCAGATAAATTATCTACAATTCTACAATAAAATCAACAATATGCATAAGAACAAAACATTGTCAATTAATAAATGAAATGAAATGGGGTTTAATGTCTTACTTTTCTTCACTGACTGGGCTAATGAAGACGGGTCAATCAAAAAGTACAAGCATACATTGGACCAGGAGCCGAGCATCCAAAATCCAAGGCTATATTCCAAGGAACAAGCATGTCGTGTTTCACGTCGATTGTCCTTAAATTGACAGAGTCTTAGTCTCTTTTCGAAGAGTGTCACCACCATAAAGAACAGCAAAATGAGTAGCGCTTTGGGCCCAGTTCCTGATCCAAAAATATTTGTTCACATTTAGCCAAAAACATGTGTATCACTGTTCCTGGTTTAACTTGACCAACATGTCATGCGCATGGATAATACTCCTACTTAATTAATGAATCTTATCATTCTGAAAGAAGTTCAAATATGACAATGCTTCATACAAAACCTTACCCATTTACAGCTCTAGACAAATTCTTCATTACTTCATAAATATGAATCTTCCTCAAAAAACATGTCAAAGCTACAGTTGTTCTTACTAACTATAAATAGAAGATTAATTATTACTAGTAACTTCAACTATTATGTTCCCTATTCCTTTATCTTAAAAAAAAGACATTATCACTTTCAAGAGAACAATTAATTTAATCAATTTTACATCTCATATTTAAAATGTCCTCACCAAAATGTCTCCTGATTCATTGAAAACAGGAATGCAATATAACTTCCTTAATTCAGTAATGGATTTGCAGACTTGTACTAGGTTTTGCATGCAATATAATTCAAACATCACTAATGTAACTGTATATTCAAATCATGTTAAATGGGGAAAACAAATTCCACCCACCAGTTAGACGTCCTAATGCCTTTTATTGATAGGCTCTACTATACAAACTGTGTATAACTTTTGCACTATTTCAAACAATCATTGGCTCAATGAGTAAAACATTGGCTTGCTAACCTGGAGGCTCCATGTTCGATCCCGGTGTTGTCTGAGAAAGATAATCAGGATTTGATGGCTTGATTTCACGTTGTGAGTGGTGCAAGACGGAGGGCCTGGCAATGGACAACATAGCCAAACTGAGGTCCTGTGTACACATTGTCATGCACGTAAAGGACCCTTTACAGTTGGAATTCAAAATAGAAGTAGTAAGAAAGCATTATCGGAGACACCACATTTTAAAATATATCAGCCTTACAGGTTAAAAAACATTTTTTTTAAATTTACCTGTTTGCCCAACATTATTTCTAATGTTCTTTGATAACATGTGACTTGATCTTGTTGCATAGCAGATGTCTGTTGAGTGTGAATTCCCAGAAACCAATTTAAACCATCAACATATCTAACAGTATTATCTAAAGCTCGTACTATCAAGAGTTTAACACTGAATGACATGTATGGACTGACAAATAAATCTATTAATTTGTGTTGTATATCTTGTGTCTGCAATTGAACATAAACAAAGTTAAATTAGGATATTCTAATAATCTGATAACATTTTTGTATTGATTAGTTGTCTGAGATGACAATCTATCTTTTTGAAATTTTGCTTAGTCATAGCCAATGAGTTTTGTGTTCAACAGTCGACAATTTAAGTCATAAATCAAACTAAAACAAGATAACTAGTCATCACCATCCCACGCAATTGAACTTGTTTGGAAGGCATAAGGAAAAACAACTTCTTGGAATATCAATGACACTAGTCAGAAGATTCATACTCTGATCATAGTAGCTCGGCAAGGCACAGTTGCTACTCCCTGTAAGGTTTGCACAACAACCTTTTACCTACCTCAATCAGCTGCTGTATGTTAAACATTAAACTTATACATCAGAAAATAAAATACTTTAATAGTTTGATGTTTGTATAAAGTTTTAAAAAGATTTCTTTGAACAGATAATGAAATATGCTCTTGAAATGAAGTCGGGACAGAAGGAAGGTCATCAAAAAATAAAATGATAGGTTGATGAATGTAAAAGTGTTATAAAGGTATCTTGAACAGTTTCTGAGATATGCTCTAGAATAATAATTATATACCAAGACCTAATTCAAATGTGTAGTAAAAATCATTCAACAGAGAACTTTTTTTCCATGGAAACACAAAAATTATAAAATCTGACAAATTTCTAATTAGCAAAAGGCACAACTACTGTAATAGGATGATGTGTGTTCAAAGTTTCAAAAAGATATTTTGAACGATTTATGAGAAATGCTCTGGAAACAAAATTGTGCATAAAAACTAAGTCAAATTTGTTTCCATAGAAACACAAAAATGATTAAATCACAGAAATTCCAAATTAGCAAAAGGCACAACTAATATAATAGGTTAATGTTTGTAGAAAGTTTCATGAAGATTTCTTGAATGGTTTATGAGATATGCTCTGTAAACAAATTTGAACACCAAAAACTAAGTCAAATTTGTTTCCATGGAAACATGAAAAAAATATAAATCCCAGAAAATCCTAAATAGCAAAACGCACAACTTTAACAGATTGATGTTTGTACAAGTGCCAAGAAAATATCTTGAACGATTTATGAGATATGCTCCGGAAACAAAATTGTACACCAAAATTTGTTTCCATGGAAACACAAAAAATATAAATCACAGAAATGTCTAAATAGCAAAAGGCACAACTACTGTTGATGTTGATATCTTGAACGGTTTATGAGATATGCTCCGGAAACAAAATTATACACCATAAACTACGTCAAATTTCCATGGAAACAAAATTATACACCATAAACTACGTCAAATTTGTTTTCATGGAAACACAAAAAATATAAATCCTAGAAATTCCTAAATAGCAAAAGGCACAACTACTGTAACAGGTTGATGTGTGTACAGAGTTTCAGAAAGATATCTTGAATGGTTTTGAAAAAACCTTATCTTGACAGTGCTTGTCCCATTACTAATAGAAATAACATTTTGTAATTCTTAAAACATTTTTTTCAGTTTTTACTTTACTGTCCGTAAAGCATTACCAATGATAAAGAATTATCCATAGAGATAAATGAAATTTATTATTTATTTAAAACCGACAAGTCAGATTGCACAATATAAAATGTGTACGGCAGTATACTAGCATTTTTCTGCAACCGTGTAAACAAATTTTTAAAAATCCATTACCAAAAAAGATTGTGAACTTCTATTTTCTACTTACAATGATTTTCTTAGCTATATCTGGATTTAAAGATGCAAGGGTACCAGCTAATGTAATTCCCATCTTTAAATGTCGCACTTTATAAGCTGATTCTGGTTGTTTCATCGCTAAATCTAGATCTACACCTTCCATAGTCCAAGACAACAGTTTATCCAAAACATCTGCAAATACACATAAATACCGGTACAGTAATTAATTGTCTATTTCAAATGCTTTTAAAATTTCTGTTGTTAGATATTACTGGTAGTAACATCCATTGAATACAAACTAGGTCACTTTAAAACTTACACAGGGTGCCGTTTTTATTTCAATAAAAGTTTAAGAATCCAGTCAAGTGAAATTAGGTCATTTCAGGACTAACATGGAACAATTTTATTTCAATAATTCGCAGTGGGAGGATACCAGAAAGCTCAGAGAAAATCTATGAGGTTGCACAGGCGACCCTTCTCTTTGTCACGGACAAACATGGCTGATCCAAAGCATCCAATCCTCAACATCATAGATTAATATAAAATTATATTGAATACCTACCAGTATTTTTGTCTTTAACTAGAAGATAATTGAGACCTTTTTCTAATAGATTAGGTACTGTTTCCATAGCTTCTACCCATCTAGTGTAAATAACATTACTTATATTAGCTTTTTAAAATAATTATAGGTCTATATATGATATACATCAGTAGAAGAAAAGGTAAATACACAAATTTGTTTTTTCTATTGGCCTTTGGACATACACAGATATGCTTTATGTACTGTGTGTTTATTACTCACTTTCCGGTATTTTATATTTCCTGTTCAGAAGAAATATCATATTTTCAATTGAAATAAGGCTTGAGCGTACACGAGATATACTAATCAACCCCAAAGGAATACATTCTATATCTGTTAGTCTTCTCAAATTTCTCTTTTCTATTCACTGTTTCTATTCTTTTGTTGGCTGTATTAGAATTTACAGTGTTATTAAATTGTTAATTTGTATAGCATAAACTGATATCTTACTTGTCATGATGTTGTATAAAGCATGAACTAATATCTTACTAGTCATGATGTTGTATAAAGCATGAACTAATATCTTACTTGTCATGATGTTGTATAAAGCATGAACTAATATCTTACTTGTCATGATGTTGTATAAAGCATGAACTAATATCTTACTTGTCATGATGTTGTATAAAGCATGAACTAATGTCTTACTTGTCATGATGTTGTGTTGTTGTGTATAAAATAAACTGATATCTTACTTGTCATGATGTTGTGTATCTGTAAATTGTTGTAGTATATCTAGTATAGTCTGGGCTTCCTCAGGTCTTTCACTCGTCTCAGTAGTTTCTAATATTTTTCCTTCTGCTTCATACACAGATAATGCTGGATCTTGAAAACTCTGAAATATACATTTGAAACAAGTGATAATCAAATTATTATTAATCTTACCATTTTGGGTGATCCACACCACATCTTTTTGGAGACTAATTACCTCCCTTGAATTTATACATGGAAAAAAAATATAGCATCAACAAATACAGTAAAACAGCCCTTGATGTTCAATACAGGATGTTTCTAGTAGTTTAATATATTAAAGAAAGCATTAAACCTAATATGACCACCCAAGGTATTTCAGTTATTTCACAAAAAGTTTTTAATTTTATATCTTTCAAATATTAAAATATATATTGTATTTGAACATATCTCTGATCAAGAGTAATATAAATAGTAACAACAACTACTGTTAGTCAAGCGAAGAAGTGGTATTAGAGGTTTTGTATGAAGCAAGCAAATCTAGCACATGCACAATCATACACAATTTAACCAAGGTACAAACCTCCAGAGGTACAAGTTCACATTGTAGTGGATTAAAACTGGCTGTAGCAAAATTCCATGGATCATCTGCCAGATCATAGAGCTCAATACCCTAAAAATATGAATGGAAATTGATATTATTTATAATGATGGAACCATAAAGGCAAATTATTCCATACTATATACACTGAAAAGCAAATCTAATAAAAAACTAAATTTTTCATTATGGTCTTCCGATTTTATGACATCGCCTTGATTTTCTCTAATATTTTCAGTTGATGCCTGGCAGTGTTTCATTTAAACCCAAGAACATCTAGCTCAAGATGGTTGATCATCATTTGTATTTTTTTTAACAATATCTAATTTTTCCGCGGCATAATCTAACCTGAAATTATTTGACAGCATACGTATTAGACCAATCGACTACATAAACACCTGCCCATCCTTGATAGCAACAACCGAATGAAAATTGGACCTTGTATTTATTTCTAATTTTAAAACAATTAATTACCTGTAATTCATCCACTTCAGCTGCCATCATATCATCATCTGATGAAATATCTTCATAACTAGCACCATCATCATCCTAATAAAATAAATTATTGACGAATGAGTAACTACAAGAATGACCCAAGTACCTGTGACAGGTTATATTGTGATGCAACTGTTTTTAAATAAAACTTACCTGTGTGTCATTATCAGCTTCAACTTCTCCTTCTGGTGCAAACATGTCCTCTGGTGAATTCTCGTCTGATAGACTTTCATAAATATCTTCTTCCAATTCTCCTGAAGGAAAACCAAATTCAACTAAAATGACACTCACTGCATTCAGTGCAAGTGAACATTTGATAACAACATCGGCTGCCAGGCCAGATACGCCCACATTTTGCAAGAGATGGATAGAGAACAAGCTAAAAACAAAAATCAATTTTTCGTACAATCAGGGGCCATATTCCAGAAAGTTATGGTCTGAAATACGCAAATATCACAAGGGATAAATTGGATAAAAATTTTAACATCTACAGGGTCCATAACCTTTGTATTACAAACTTATACACAATTTGCGTACAAAGAGCGGCCATTTTCAGGAAATTCCAATTCAACCTTCATTATGGTGGAATGGTGATATATCTAAACGGTTTTTAAAATCTGAAAAAAATTGTGACCTCTACAGAATCCACAAGCTAAAATGCGACTTTTCAACCAATCAGAGGCCATAATCCAGGAAGTTACATTCGGATATGTGTGATTATCAACAGGAACCAAGATCTTTATGATAAAAACATATATTAAAAGTTTCATCCAAATCGGATTACACTATTTGCGTACTCAACCTATCATTAGTGTATAACAGTTAAATCGGATAAGAATTGTGACCTCTATAGGGACCACAAGCTAAAATCGTGATTTTTCGTACAATCAGGGGCCATAATCCATGAAGTTATGGTCCGATACATGCCAATATCGAAAGGAACCGAGATCCTTGGGAGATAGACCTATATTTTGAGTTTCATCAAAATCGGATAAAAATTGTGACCTGTAGAGTGTCCACAAACAAATTGTGGACGGACGGACGGACAGGGGCGACGACAATATACGTCCACATGAATGTATTTATAAAGTATTTATAATATAATGTATTTATATATATATTTATAACGCACTTTATCCACCTATATATATAAAACATACCTTACTTGGTCTGATATAGTTATATCATAGGTTTATTTTCTTAGTGAAAAACAATCATCTCAATATAGTCCATGTATCATGTTTAGAATGCCAAAATAGTGTGAATTACAGAAACAGTTTCCAATATTCAATGTCAATGACTTTATTATTTAGTTTATAAATGTACCTGATTCCACATCTTCTTCTCTAGGTTCAGCTGGTTCTGGTGGTGGTTGTGGTGCTACTGTAGGATGAGGTATAGGTGATCTAGATTCCGATCTATCTGGTGATATAGATCTAGCTCTTGGTATTGGTGGTGTTCTAGGTCTAGCATCTCTTTCTTCATATACTGGACTTCTTTCACGATCTCTTTCCAGCTCTCTTTCTCGTTCACGATCCCTTTCTCGATCACGTTCTCTTTCCCTGTCTCGTTCCCTTTCCCTATCCTGCTCTCTCTCCCTTTCTCTCTGTTCTCTTTCCCGTTCTCTCTGTTCCCTTTCCCGTTCTCTTTCGTGTTCCCTTTCTCGATCACGCTCTCGATCTCGCTCTCGTTCCCTATCCCTTTCTAAATCTCTTTCTCTTTCCCATTCTCTATCTCGATCACGCATTCTTTCTCTATCTCTTTCCCGGTCACTATCTCTATCTCTATCATTATCCCTGTCTCGACTGTCTCTATAATCTCTAGGCTCACGAGAAGATTCTCGCGACTGAGATCTCTCTCGGCTGTCCCTTGAACTTCGTCTTCCTCGAAATTCCCATTCATAGGAATCCCTTGAACGAGCATCATCATGCTGATCTCGTGGCTCAAACGGTTCCTTTGGTTCTGGTGGAAAACTAGGATAATCTCTTTCTGGCTTTTGAGGTGGGGGATATTTTTCTCTCTGAGGGGGGTAGTTATGTGCTTGACTTACAGGAGGTGGACCATGTGTAAGTTGATGAACAGCTAGAGGTGGTGTGATAGTTGGAGGGGGTTGTACAGGATGTGTAGCAGCTTGTTGTTGAAACCGTTGCTGTAACTGTATTTGTTGCTGTATGTAGTCCAGTGGATGTTGCTGTTGGGGTGGTGGTAGAGGTCTATGATCAACTTTAACTTGTTCAGGTGGTCGATTCTCAACTGCAATATACAAGATAAAAGAATTCATATAGTATGCCAAGATTCACAGAATATAAGTCTATTATAACATTATAGTAGAGGATATGTTGAAGATAATCTGAAATTGATATTACAACAAAGCCATGATCCTTAAAATGATGCACAGAAACACATTGAGTAAAAATCATAACACTGTCAGGATGCAGATAAGGTTCTTGATAATTATGAGTTCTCTAATCTTTCAACAAGTTGAGCTGGAAATTTAACACAAACGGACAATCATAAGCACAACGTTTGGCATGTACCTATGTCGTTGTATTGTATACCCAGGACTTAAGTCTATAGGTTTTATTAACTTTTCTTCTTTGAAGACATATACATTTCTACTAATTCCAAGACAAATGAACATATATGAAAAGATAACATGGTGGAATTTTCTGATGTCCATGATATATAGTGAGCCCCATGTAAGGATGCAACGATACATACAAAAATAATCATGATTAATCATGATTATTTAAAAATAAATAATCGCGATATCTTGGATTATCGTGATGTTATCATTTATCGCGATAATTTAAATAATCATGCTAGAAGGATTCATTATCGCGATTATTGAAACTAATAAAGAGTTTTCACAGCCTAGACTAAGTACAGTAGGCCTACTTATTATGTTGGAATGGATGTAAATTGTGAATGTGTGTTTTGTTGTGATATTATCTGTAGGTACTCTGTGTAATATACTGTTGTTACTGTGTGTAGAAAGTTTGGTACAGTTCTAACTCGTAAGGCGGAATCGTTTAACATGGCCAGGGAAACACTGCGTTAATTGAATATACCCCCTGCCCCCTTGGTTATGCAGCTGCAGACTACCCACCCATATTCAGAATATCTTTATGTTCTGATTTTCTTGTTGAATGGCTGAATTAAAATAAAAACTAGAATATACATGTATTTATCACTTTACTTAGTCAGGTTGATCAGTGTCATAAAGAAATTCAGGCCTTCAATCCTTTTCATTATACAATGCCAATTATGATTTTCACCACTGGCACATCAATCAAAATTTTACAAAATAAATAATATTGAGTATTTTACTCATATGTGTCTTTGTTGAAATTGGCACAGTTGCATCATTCATTTTCATTGTTAGTTAACCCTTAAAATTGTTACACATCAATTCATGTAATTACACAGGTTCTCATGCCGTAAATGTGTCATCAAACTTATTTCGTGGCAATAAATTTAAAAAAAAAACAAAAAAAAACAAAAAACAAAAACAGATTCTGTTTCCTACAGAATTGAGAATATTTCAGATTAGTTCAGTGGCAGTCACTATTAATTAGTACACATTCTTACAAGTCTATATTTTTACTTAGAAAAAGCATCTGATTTACAGTATCTGGATGTAGCCGGTTTCTGGTTTTAGTTGCTATTAATCCTGCTCCACTAAATAATCTCTCAGAAGCGCAGCTTGTTGCGGGTACTGATAGGTACCTTTTGCCAAACTTTGATAATTTCTGATAAGTAAACTCATTTTTCTTCCACCAAGCTAGAGGATCTTCAGTTGATGAAATATTTTCACCATCCTCATACAGTTGTAATTCTCTTTTTAATTTTTCTCTGTCACTCAATTCTGTCTTCTGAATTTTTTTATTTTTTTCAATCTGCAGCAATATATTTTTAAGGGAACCACATACATTACTATCAGAATCAGATACTTTATAACTTTCTTCATTCTTCTTTTCTTCAACATCAATAATTTCCTGTACCCGTATTTCCTCATCTAATATGTTTAACAAATGATTTTTTACTTTAACTACCATTTCATCACTGACACAGGAGCTTTTAAACCTAGGATCCAGATAGGAATAAACTGATAAAAACAGTTTGATATTCTCTGATTCATATCTCTTTTGAATAGATTTCAATATTGTTTTCTTTAAGTTAATTTCTAATGAACTGTCATCACCTTCATTAATCTTTAATAATGTCCCACTTAAATATTCTAAGACAGGTACCAGAGCACTTACAGTAACATATTGATCACCACTAAAAGTGTCTGTAAGTTTAGACAACGGAAACAAAACATTATCAGTTTGTTCCAAACATCTTATGATAGCTGTATCTGGCATAACATGCCAGTGCTTTCTGTCTGTAAAAGGTACTGAATTCACTGGTTGTTGTTGCTCTAAAAATCGATGGATCATGCTGGCAGTTGAACCCCATCGAGTGGCCACGTCGTGGATGAGTTTGTGTTCTGGAAAATTCAGTTCTTTCTGTTTAATCATTAGGTCTCGACTCTTCTTCCAGCTTCTGGTAAATGTATCCACAGCTACTCTGACAAGCTTTACAGCTCTACTGACAGTGTCAATCTTTAAACCTTCATTAACAGCAAGATCCAAATTGTGACCAAAACAGGATAGCTGTTGTTTCTTTAGGGCGGTAAACATTGTAGAATTATTGGAGGCATTGTCTGTTGTTCCACTTATCACATCATCCAACTTTAAATTCCACTTCTCCAGAGTCTCTTTTATTCCTTCTGCCATGTTTACCCCAGTGTGATCATCATTGAATGGAATAGCACCTAAGTTAATGGACTTTAATTCCCAATCAGGATCTATAAAATGGACAGTTAGGCTCATGTAAGGCTCCATAGTAATCGATGTCCACATATCTGTGGTGAAAGAAAGCTTGTCTGCAGTACCTAAAACATCTTGGACTGTAGCTTCAACATCGTTATAGATTGTTGGGATGATTTTCTGTTGAAAATAGGTCCTGGAAGGCACTTGATATTTAGGGTTAATTTGTTCCATGAGATGTCTAAATCCTGTTCTTTCTACGGCAGAAAAACTTATCATATCCTTCGCCATCCAATGGCCTATTGCCAGGTGTGTAATTATTGCAGATTTAGAATTAATGTCCCATTTTTTTTACTTTCTCAAATGCTCCAACAATACCGGGTTGGGTTTTAAACTTTGTTGAACTTTGTAAGTTGGATCCCTGTTTTAAATTTTTCGTTTTGTTGGTGTCTGAATAAGCATGCGGGTGGTTGTCTCGCAAATGATTCGAAGTGTTACCCCCTGGCGTTTTGATGTCTCGAGAGCAAAGTTTGCAGGTCGCGACGTCTTTATCATTGACATTTTTAAGGCCAAAATGACACCATATCACTGAAGAAGTGTTCTTTTTTGCAGCAAGGATACCATTTGCTGTCGAAATCGGTACAGAACTTTCCAGTTGAGCAGCCATATTGTTTCTAATGACAATAAAAGAAATATCATCCAGACGCATAAATTGTACTATAACATAGTTACCGACTGGATAACCAATGTTCAACAACGCGACGAGTGGAGTTGGTTTCTATGACAACGACACTCTACTCAGCAGCGCGTGCAGTGGCCAAACTAGAAATTGTTAACACGAGATATTTTATCATCCTTCTGTCATTTTGACAAGAATTCTATCGAAATAATACAATATACTTTCCATATTTTATAAATGTGATTATTCCAAATCATAATTGTGATTATTTTAAAAATAATCATGATATATCGTGATATAACGATTATTGCGAAAGGAGGCGATTATTTAATCGCCTGACCCAATAATCGCGATTAATCGCAATCCCCGTATAATATTATGCAAAACTATGAACTATTGTTTCACACAATGCTCCCAAACGCAAAAAATATTGGCCCGTGTGCACAAAAAAAATTGCACGAGATGCACATGAAAAACCCAATATTCACGTGCAGCATTGTGTGTGAGCCCTTTAAAAGCATGTTTTCAAGTTAATGTGCAGTACATGAACTGTGAAACGTCAATCTGTCGTAATTTGTTGTTGGACGTGTGAAGGAATCGAGCTAGAGATGCCGAGACTTACTGAAAATCAATGGAATGAAGCCATGGGAATGTCCAGGACTGGCATGTCTACACGTGCTATTGCCAGACACTTCAATTGTCATCAGTCCACTATTGTAAGGTTGGTGGAACGTGTTCGAGTTACTGGATCAACACGTGACCGTCAACGTCCTGGTCCACAACGCGTCACAACCCAGACTCAAGACCGCTACATCCGGGTCACTCATCTGCGTGACAGATTCCACCCAGCGACTCGAATAGGTGCAGCAGTCGTCGGAAGACAAGGACCAGTAAGTGCCAACACCGTAAGACGTCGTCTAAGAGAAGTAGGAGCTATCCTCAGGGATCATCACCATCAGTGGCGTTTGATATGGGCTCAAGGACACCAGACATGGAGAAGAGTAGACTGGCAAAGTGTGCTCTTCAGTGATGAGAGTCAGTTTTATTTTTATCACGCTGATGGCCGTCAACGTGTGTGGAGACGTCTTGGGGAACTTCTTGCAGACTGCTGCATCTTCGAAACGAATCGATGGGGTGGTGGAAGTGTAATGGTGTGGGGAGGCTTCACATTTCATCACCAGACCGCCCTACACATTTGCAGGGGTCGCGTTAATGCTGTAGCCTACTGTGAAGATGTCTTGCAACCAATTGTTGTTCAGATGTTTCGAGCGCACCCACAACTTCAGCACTTCCAACAGGATAATGCACGTCCGCATACCGCCCGTTTTAGTATGGACTACCTGGCTGCTAACATCAATGTCTTGGACTGGCCAGCCATGTCTCCGGACATGGCACCGATAGAACATGTCTGGGATGAGATTGGACGCCGTCTGTATCGGAGACCACAGATGCACACCATTGCTGCTTTAGAAGCTGCTCTTGTCCAAGAATGGAACAATTTGCCCCAGGCCTTCTTTCAAACATTGGTAAATTCCATGCGACATCGCTGCACAGCGTGCGTAAGAGCCTGTGGAGGACACACACGCTACTGACATCTGTGTCATACTTTTGGTTTTGACCCCTCTGACTTTGTACCGTTGATTACAGATTAAACATCCATAAGTGTACAAATTTGTTGTTATTGATGTGTTCCCATTTGAATATTGGTCACAATAAGAAGCAAATTAAATAAGATATGTTTACGGGATCATTTTGTTATACGAAAAACTAAGTGATGCGTTTTCCATAGCGCTCAGTATATTTCTTCTTCAAACATGACATTTGGACTTCAATTCTTTCATCATATTCTTGAACTTCTTACCTTTAGCTCTAGGTGGTTGAGCTGGAGGAGGTGGGGGAGGGGGAGATGATCTTTCTTTTGGTAGAACAGTTGTCAACAATCCATATACAGCCAGTGTAATTGTGTTATACCAGCCTTTGATAATCAACCCATCTGTTGGTACCTATAAAACAATCACATAATATAAAATTATTTCCTAATAATTGTAAATCAACCATATGACCATCTGAAAATGAAACTATGCTTGTCAACAGGCCAAACTACATAGAGATAAGAATACTATTCAATATCTATCTGAATAATGTATTGAGTTGTAGACAGAAATAATAAAAACATGTAGAGTTTAGATGCCAATTGGTAATTCGATTGATGATTACATGGTCCTGTGCATAAACTATCAATGTGCGGACTTGACAGACTGGTTTAGTCTGACTCTGGAAAGATAAATCTTACATGCCATTGAGGAATTTTTAAAGGAAGGTTGACTAAGGTATATTTTTCTTTTATTTATCTTAACATAAGAATATAAGTATACTTACATCTTCATTGGGCTTGAGTTGAATATTATTTTCTTTATACTGTAATCTATAAAACATGAATATTAAATCATTAGTGGGTTACTTTCCCCCCTCACCCCGCTCATGGACTGATAACGTAACCAGGATCTGTGGAATCCAAATCATATTTTATAGCGAGATCCTAGTGTTCAAATACAATAGTTAGAGAAAGAAGACTTACACTCCAATATTTTCAAATGTGGAGGAATTTGGTTTATTCAGGTTATTGACAAATAGTTCTAGTTTAAAAGTAGATGGATTAGTTGCCCTGAAAATAAACAATTGAAATTAATTATTTGTATGACCGTAACTATGTGCTAAGGCAGTTGATGCTTTGCAAAGACTCTGGTGATCATGTACAGAGGCAAAAAGTGCCTTGAAAGTACATATCTTTGATATAAATTATTATAATAATATGTCCAATTATATAGTGCCAAATACATAATGTGTGCTCATAGGGCATATGAAATTGAAAACTATATACAAAAGTTCATTGGCTCTAAGTTTTTTGTCAATTTTTGTAGTGAATGGTGAAAAGATGAGTTTTAAATCAAGATTTTTGAAGATTGACAAAGAAGTCACAAAACGGAGTTCAACTTAGAGTGAATTCCATCACTCGGCAGTGGCAACAACCAGCGCTCTTTGTCCAATAGTTGTAAGTTTCCACGGCACTGGCTGATTGAGATTGTTTGAACCACTGTTTTTTTAGAATATTCTGTTGAATTATTTCACAAAGGTAAATCAGGAGCCTCTCCACTGAACTGATATATTAGGCAGAGTACTTTAAAGTCTATCCAGGCACTGATTGGTAACCAATGAAGGGATTGGAGAACTGGGGTAATGTGACAAAGATATAGAGATCTTGTGATCATTCTTGCTGTGATATTTTGGATTCGTTGAAGGTGATTTAGTTGATTTTGGGGTAGGCCGGTGACAAGACTATTACAATAGTCTAGTCAAGATATAATTAATCATAAGCTACAGCTGAAGCTGAATTCTGTGTGAGAACATGGCGGAAGGAACTGATGTTCTTCAGATAGCAGTAGCATTTTCTAGACAAATCATGACTTAATTTGTGAAGGTCGGGCCACTATCCAATAGTACATCTATACTATTGGATAATTTGTTAATTAAATATAGTACCTACCCAAGTCTTACACCACCAGGTAAATCTGCTTGTACCTGCGTTCTAAGTGGGATAACTCTTATTTCATATATTATAACTGGGCATGGAAATTGCACAAGATCAAGATTCAATTCCTAGAAAAGAAGAAAATATTGTGACACCAGTAACGATAAAGCATTCAGAAGGAACATACAAAGCTACATCTTCAATAGAAGGCTTGATCTCGCTTTTTAAAGACTACAAACATCTTATCACGTAATAGTAGAAAATAATATGTCAAAGTAGAATTCTTCTTGTAACATGTAGGCCTAAATGAAAGCAACGAATGCTGAGAACAATAATGACAGTGAGTGAAACAACAGTTATGTTATTTTTAAAATTATGTAGTTGCTATGGCAACCAAGCAAAGTCCTTAATATTTCCCTAAAATTACACAATTCATAATATTTTATATTACATGTGTTATAAGTATATGCTAAAATGCTTACTGGTATCGTACTTAAAATGTGGGGATCATTTGCAATTCAGTACGGTAAACACCATTGAAAATGGTATAAACATTGCATTTTTGTTGGTTTGTTTTTCGTTTTGGTTACCGGTACTATAACATCCAAATATTAAGTAAAGACATGTGATTTTAAAAATTCACAAACACATTTACTTGTAAACAAAATTTTACTTCAATATCTCAATTCCTTCATATTTTATTTATGTCGTAATAACGGCCAAAATGGGCAATTTGCTACTGAGGAATTTTTTTCAAATGTAAACCCCTTTCCTGCTGTTGAGAGAAGACATAAAAATACCTTGATTTTGTTTATTTTTTAAAATCTTGCCTGATAGCTTCTGATTTTAAGATAATACAATTATCAATATTGATGTCATAAATATTGGAAAATACTGCTTATTGGAAAAAAAATAACTGTGGTTACTCCTTCATATTTTTTCTCAAACTTACACAATCCATATAATTTGATATTGCATGGTTTTCAAATATTTTAAATTGCTTACTTTAAAATGTGGAGATCACCTTTTGGGTTATGGTAAATAGCGTTGAAAATGGTCGAAAATTGCATTTCTTTCCATTTTGGTTGCTATGACAATCAAAATTGATAATGTATGGCAGATTAGTAGTATGTAATTTTAAAAATTCACAAACTTTTTGACATGTTCACATAATTTCACTAATGTATCTCTATTCCTTCTTATTTTATTAATGTCCAAAAAACACCCCAAAAATAGGCAATTTGCTTCCGCGGAAAATTGTCCAAAAATGAACATATATCCTGCATGTGAGAGAAGGCATATGAATATTTTTCTCTTTTTTTTTCCTGTTAATCTTACTTGATAGCTACTGATTTTAAGACAGGTTGCCAGGCAACGAAACATACGCCCACAGCAGCTGTATCGTCCGGGCAGTCAACAAGAGTTGTTGCATATTTTTACTTTTTTTCGGTAATGAAACATTTATAATACATTAAAATCTGATTAAGAGTAACAAATCATTTAGTAATTATTAGAAAACCTTTAGAATTTGTTCTGTTTTTATAAAGTTCTGCCCCATGCTAACGTTTAGTATACGAAACTTTTAACATCATGGATTTAGCTGTTCAAGTCATAAAGATTCATTGAAAATCAATATACTTGTTTGTCTCAAGAACTTAAACACTGTGTATAATATAAATTTAAAATCAATCGGATACTAACTTTAGCCTCAAGATTTTTCAAAGTGATCAAGTGCCATAACTCTAGCTGTAATCATCGGAAATCGCTGAAAATCAATAGGATTCTTCGTCTCATGACCTTATAAATTTAAAGTCAATCGGATATTAACTTTAGCGTCTAGAGTGTCTACAAGATTTTTTGAAGTGATCAAGGGCCATAACTCTGGCAGTAATTATCGAAAATGGTTGAAAATCAATAGGATTCTTCGTTTCATGACCTTAAACACTGTGTATAAATTTAAAGTCAATCGGATATTAACTTTGACCTTTAGAGCGTCCACAAGATTTTTCAAGGTGATCAAGGGCCATAACTCTGGCAGTAATTATCGAAAATCGCTGAAAATGAATAGACTTCTTCGTCTCATGCCCTTAAACACTGTGTATAAATTCAAATAAATTTAAAGTCAATCGGATAGTAACTTTAGCCTCTAGAGCGTCCACAAGATTTTTCAAAGTGATCAAGGGCCATAACTCTGACAGAAATTATCGGAAATCGCTGAAAATCAATAGGCTTCTTCATCTCATGACCTTTAACACTGTGTATAAATTTAAAGTCAATCGGATATTAACTTTAGCCTCTAGAGCGTCCACAATTTTTTTTTAAGTAATCAAGGACCATAACTCTGGCAGTTATTATCAGAAATCGCTGAAAATCAATAGGCTTTTTCGCCTCATGACCTTAAACACTGTGTATAAATTTAAAGTCAATCGGATATTAACTTTAGCCTCTAGAGCGTCCACAAGATTTTTTGAAGTGATTAAGGGCCATAACTCTAGCTGTAATCATCGGAAATCGCTGAAAATCAATAGGATTCTTCGTCTCATGCCCTTAAACACTGTGTATAAATTTAAAGTCAATCAGATATTAACTTTACCCTCTAGAGCGTCTACAAGATTTTTTGAAGTGATCAAGGGCCATAACTCTGGCAGTAATTATCGAAAATAGTTGAAAATCAATAGGATTCTTCGTTTCATGACCTTAAACACTGTGTATAAATTTAAAGTCAATCGGATATTAACTTTGACCTTTAGATCGTCCACAAGATTTTTCAAAGTGATCAAGGGCCATAACTCTGGCAGTAATTGGAGGCAGACCACCATTAATTTCCCCATTGACTTCAATGTTAATTCTGGCCTCTTTGCCCACCTCCAACTTTTCCCCAAATTTTCGTTGGGCTGAATGCTTACCACTACAGACAGAGGAACAAATGGTCATGTCTTTGCACTAAAATTTGCATGAGGTTGACCACCAAAATTTTGAGATACACAAACTTGAAGAAGCATACTAAAAACATGTAACTAGTTGCCGTACATATCGCCGTAGCTAACCTGATAACCCTCTTATTCTTCCGCCTCAAAATCATGAATATTTACCAAAACCTGGCAGAAAATGTTAATTCAAACCCTCTTCATCCATTCTAGACCAAAAAATCAACACAAATGGGCATGCGAAAGGGGAGAAAAGAGAGAGAGAGAGAATTGCTATAAATAGACGAACTACAATTCGTGGGTACCGAGATGATGAAATTTAATGGTGGTCTGCCTCCAATTATCGAAAATTGCTGAAAATGAATAGACTTCTTCGTCTCATGCCCTTAAACAATGTGTATAAATTTAAAGTCAATCGGATAGTAAATTTAGCCTCTAGAGCATCCACAAGATTTTTCAAAGTTATCAAGGGCCATAACTCTGGCAGAAATTATCGGAAATCGCTGAAAATCAATAACCTTCTTCATCTCATGACCTTAAACACTGTGTATAAATTTAAAGTCAATCGGATATTAACGTTAGCCTCTAGAGCGTCCACAAATTTTTTTGAAGTGATCAAGGACCATGCAGTTATTATCAGAAATCGCTGAAAATCAATAGGCTTTTTCGCCTCATGACCTTAAACACTGTGTATAAATTTAAAGTCAATCAGATATTAACTTTAGCGTCTAGAGTGTCCACAAGATTTTTTGAAGTGATCAAGGGCCATAACTCTGGCAGTAATTATCGAAAATGGTTGAAAATCAATAGGATTCTTCGTCTCATGGCCTTAAACACTGTATATAAATTTAAAGTCAATCGGATATTAACTTTAGCCTCTAGAGCGTCCACAAGTAATTGTGGACGCCGGACCGACCGACCGACGGACGGACAGGGGCGACGACAATATACGACCACATTTCAATGTGGGCGTATAAAAATGCATAATAACCAGGTTCAATATTTCAGATATAACATGGACAAGACAATTTTTGATGAAAAAATTGACCAAAATCACTTTGACAAAATAGAATTTTTGAGAAAATCTATGTATTTTTGAGTTGCTTGGGAAATCAGAGTAATTGTTACGAAAATGTGAAAATCGGAACATAATTAACCTTAAAGTTGTATTTCATGAATTTACATCTAAATTTTTGATTGGTTTGCTATGAAATGAAATATGACATTGCAAAAAACACCAAAAATGACTTTTTCAAGGCGTTGAAAAGCCTTTCTTTCACGAAATGTCAAAAATTGCAACTTTGCGCCTCTATAAAAAAAAAAAAATTTCATTCGATTTTGAATCTGTAAAAAGTTTTGGGAGATGAGATCTACTTGAAAAACTAATAAAATCAAATGTATAATCATAATCCCAAAATCACCTTTTCCACCTATTAGTAATACCCTGCATATTTCAGCACTAATTTCAATTGGGTACAAGCCCAGCTTGTGAGCCTATCAGATTCCTTGATCGTCGTGAATACCAAGTCTCGTGCTTTCAAGCTAAAATGTCTACCTGTGATAATCGAGGTTGCAAAGTTCAAGGTTCATTCAATGTCAAGGTTTCCGTGGAGGTCGCGATGTCACAACCTCTGATTGGACGCCACTGATCACTTGTCTGTAGATAACATAGCTATAAGTTCGGGAATCGTGAAGTAAACAAGTAACGTCCAGATGTTGTAAAACTCACAGACATTGCTTTAGGAACATGACAAAGCTAGTAACACTGAGAAACACAACTAACAGATATGTACATGCTTATTGCTCACAGCAATTGAAATTTATTTCTTTACCTTAAAAGATGGGGTTTAAAACTTGGAACCATGCAAGGTTCAATGGATGCTAATTGACTACTACATTACACAATATTTATCTAAAACCCACCGTAAAAATATTAAATTGCGACATAGAGGTGTTTGAAATATCTAAGTTCACAATGACCTCTCATGGGAAAATATACCCTCTGAATTGAGCCGAGCCACTAACACTGTAAATCTGTGCAAGCATTTTGTTTATGTCACTCACAAGGATTCCTTCCAAGAAGTTAAATGAAGTTAGAATCAGAAAATAGTTGAATTAACAGTTTAAGCCAATTTCTTAAAAACAATGTCCATCATGCTGGCCATAAATATGGATTGATTACCTGGCAATAAAACTTACAT